TAAAATCCAGCTCTCTTTATTAGATTTCTTATTTGGACCTCTAGACTTTCTAGATCTAAGAAATCAGAGTATGCTGTTTACATGACCATTTGAATAATCAAATAACTGCAGAAATCCGATTATGATCAGATTATTGAGTGCATGTTAACACACTCATTGTTTTGGCCGAGTGGTACATACACGGGGTTACAAGACAAAATAGTCCTCAAAGAAAACTTTCTTTTTCAGAAGTACCACTAATTTACCAGCATCAATTACATATAAAACTCAGAAGATATGTGTATGTTCACTGGTGGTTTTGGATAGTAAATAAAATGGCTATATTTGTGTGGTGAGCCCTGGTTTCTATCACCACCACTGTAAGGAAGTCGGTGGTGTCGGTTAGTTTCTCTACAATGAATCATTTCACATCAAATCACTCCGAATGACTTTGTTTACACCTCATCAACTGAATTATGCTGAAATTTTGGAGAGTTGTTAGAATGTTCCTTTAAGATTGGCAATTGCGTCCTCCAAAAAATTAGTTCTGGCAGCTTTGCTTGAAGTGACCTTTGTTGTTACTAAGCAACCAGGTGAAAAAAAAGTGCTGTTATGAAATATAATAGCACAGGTTGAAAGCTTTTCAACCAATCAGACTGTGTGGTCGGAACTAAGTGCTGTATAAAACAATAGATCCCTGTTACATTCAAAAACGCAGGCTTACTTATCCCTATAGTTTTACACAGTGAAAGACAGTCAAGCGCACCTGATCCAGCTCATGAAGGGCTTTGTAATGGGCCGATGAGTTGAATCAGGTGTGCTAGATTAGGGAAACCGCAAAATGTGCAGAACGTGGTATCCACAGGCCTGGGCTTGGGAACCACTTGAGTTAGGAAAATGAACAGGGACTTATTATTATTTCATATTGGACTGGAACCAGGCTGCGCAGCTGAGCCAATACAGCCATACTGCAAAAACACATTATTGAAAATTGTGCATTGGTGCGAGTCCGTCGCCGCATGTAAAATAACAAAGTTTCTACATTTCGGAGAGAAGGATATGTGGGTGAGACATTCAGTCATGTATTAGTTTCCTAATTCTCATTTATGGTTTTTCTGTTGTTAGACGTTTGGACTCATGTAGAGAGATTTAGGCTAAATGTATCCTGACTGTAAATATTGTTATAAACCGTAGATGAAAGATCAACCCAAGAACCGTGAATGAGGACCATTAAAATAAGCAAAAAAAAAAAGGGTTCCAGAAAGGCCTGGGCATGTATTAAAACCTGCCCTGGCCACAGCACTAGCACTCATACAAAAACACGGTTGCTATGCGTTGGTCTTTGATGGGCCAGGTTCCATAAAGTCATTGTGTACTTAATCTCTGATGTGGAGTTGGCTTTCATGGGCAAATGTGTATTCATTTGCAGGCCAGTAGTCATGTGTGGGCTCAAAGTTGTGTGTGCTAATGTTTTTGAATCACTAATAGAGAGAAAGAGAGAGAGAGAGAGAGAGAGAGAGAGAGAGAGAGAATGGGAGGGAGGAAGGCCTTTTATTCAGGGATGGTTAAAGCAAACATTGTCTTTGACCTTGCTGCTACCTGACCTGGTAAAGCGTAACACGAACAGCTGCAACGAGCTTTATTTTTCCATACGTTGGAATGTTTTGGCTGTTCACACTTAGTAACAGCAAATCCTGAACAAAATTAACAAAACCCAGCAAGCCGTATTCACGGCTTACCGTGTTTGTAGTAGGCGAGGAATGTGACACAGTGATGGGAAATGAAGGCTTGAGCTGGGAAAATGAATCACTTTTCTACAAGCATTGGACCTTGTTTACTTTGTGTTATGACCAATCCACGTGACTACTGGTGAGCAATCCAGTTCAGTTCATATTTGAGCGGAAAAGAACAAGGAAAAGCTTGTGATTCAATGCTAAGATGCTAACAAGCTAACAAAAATAGGTCCTGCGAGTGTAATATTTGAATTCTGAGAGAAATCTTCCTTCTTGTTTAATTAATAATGGACTGTTTTTTCAGTAAGACACAATCACTTCACAGCTGACACTTGGCCAGACATCTGGCAGCTGCTTCAGAGAATCCATGCATTAAAAGGGAATTCCAAAGATTTTTCAAGATTTCCTCATCATTCAGTGGTGGAGATGTAAACAAAGTCATTCAGATGGGTTTGGTGTGAAATGGTTCACTGTAGAGAAACTCTGGCTCTTTATAGTGGTGATGATAAGAACCAGGCATCACAATGTCTACAACACAAGTATAGCCATTTTATTTACTATCCAAAACCACCAGTGAACCTACACGTGTTTTGAGGTTTTATATGTAATGTTGATGATAAAATAGTGATAAACGTGAAAAAAAAAGAAGTTTTCTTTGGGGACTATTTTTTCCTTATAAGATCCTGCATGAATCCAACCACCATGAATGAATGTTAAAAACAGTTTTAGGCCAAAATTTGATTTCAAAAGTAAATTTCTCTAGAACAGAGCTTTACATTTTACTGCTGTCGGAACAAAACCTTGTATCTCAAAAATGGTAATTTTACAGGAGAAGCAAAAACATACGTCACTTTTAATGCAAGTCAATGGAACCAGAATTTTTTCCAAGTCATTTTGGTCCATTTCTGTTAGTCCATTCATCATGTAATTTACATACAATATAAAGGGCAACAGGTATTTTCAAACTATGTCAAAAACTGAAAAGCGACAAAAATGGAGATATGAGGTTTTGTTCTGACAGCAGCAATATCAAACCACTCTGAATGACTTACAGCTTGGGTATTTAGGTATGCAGTAAAATTTCATCCACTGTAACATTTTTGGCTAAAAATTGCCAAAAGTGGCTCTTTCAGCACAAATCAGAAGAACGTTCAAACAATTTAAGATCAACAGTGGAAAAAAGTTGGCTGCATGGAGCCATTTTACAGCTTGTATGAGGAAAATCAGAAAAGCAATTTATAATTTCTGTTCATCCCAAGTTTCAGAAGAGGGCACGAGGGAGAAATTCTCCACTGCAGGTTTCATGGCAAAGCTTATTTCATAATTTACTGTCAGCTCAACTTTGTCCTACTGAAAGGAGATTTTAACAATGATAAAACTGTAATTTCTTTACTACCTTGCACTTTTAACCCTGCAGAAAAAGGACTATTCGAAACCATTAGGATTAAAGCCTATCGTTTTTGCTTTCTAATAGGAATTTGCCTGATGGTTTCCAACAGAGACGACTAGTTTCCTGTAGAACACCTTTAGATCCTTTAGGAAAATACTTAAAATGCTTTTAGAATCAGCAACTGGTCACCTGTTAACCCATTAGGATCCTTTTGTGATATTGATATTGTGATATCAACCCATCAACAAAGACAAAACACATTACAAAATGATCAGAAACCAACAGAAATGCTTAACGGGTTTCTTTCAGCTTCAGGGATGTTTGGTATGTTTATTCAAAAGCTCCAATTAAATGGAAAAAAATAAAAAATCTTTCAGTTTCAGCCAATAATTTTCATTTTGGCGATTTACCTAATCTTACACATTTATTAATGCAGACATTTTGAAAAATAGGTGGAGTTCCCCTTTAATGGTGCACAGTGAAGGCACTTTAACTGATCTAGGAGAGATTTCATTTTCATCAAAGAGAATTTTCTCTGTGAGCTGATCCAGGACGCTCAACGAAACCCCCACAGAGCGCTGGACTTTTTTAGTGCACAGAAGTACACTCTTAAAAAAGGCAGTTCTTTAAGGGATTCTTTAGCAAAGAAAATGGTTCCATATAGAACCATGAACACTCAACGAACCTTTTGCAAGATTACAGGGTTCTTTGCATCATGAAAGCGTTCTCTAGATTGATGGAAAATGTGCATAAATGTGCTACAGATGGTTCCATAGAGAACCTTTTTGAAAAGGGTTCAACATAGCAACGAAAGGGGTTCTTCTGTTGCTACAAGCGTGAAATTGTAAAAATAGGAGAACCTTTATGAGGTGCTATATAGAACCCAAAAAGTTTCTATATAGAACCATCTACAGCACATTCTCCATCAGTCTTGGAACACTTTCATGATGCAAAGAACTCTTTAACCATGCAAAAGTTTCTCATGGTTCTATAAAAAAATGGCTCTATATAGAACCATGAGCACTGAAAGAACCTTTTGCAAGATTACAGGGTTCTTTGCATCATGAAAGCGTTCTCTAGATCGATGGAAAATGTGCATAAATGTGCTGCAGATGGTTCTATATAGAATAATTTTTTAATAGGGTTCTATATAGCATGCAAAAGCATTCTTCTATTGTTACAAGCTTGACATCGTAACAATATAAGAACCTTTATCAGGTGCTATATAGAACCCAAAAAGGTTCTATATAGAGCCATCTAAAACACATTTTTCATCAGTCTGAAAACCTTTTTAAGATGCAAAGAACCCTGTAATCTTGCAAAAGGTTCTTTTCAGTGCGCATGGTTCTATAAGAAAATGGTTCTAAATAGAAAAGAACCTCAAAGAGCCTTTTGTAAGATTAGAGGGTTCTTTGCATCACATTGTTGGAAAATGTGCATAAATGTGCTACAGATTTTTCTGTATAGAACCTTTTTGAAAAGGGTTCAACATAGCACCCAAAAGCGTTCTTCTATTGTTATTCTTGACAACAGAAGAACGCTTTTGGCAGCTACGTAGAATCCAAAAAAGTTCTATATAGAACCATCTACAGCACATTCTCCATTAATCTGAAGAACCCTTACATGATGCAAGATGCCTTTAATCATGCAAAAGATTCTTTGAGTGCTCATGATTCTATATAGAACCATTTTCTTTGCTACAGAACCCTTAAAGAACCATCGTTTTTAAGAGTGTAGGGAAGAGCACATGAGATTTTTGCGGAAAGTCAGTTTTCATGATGAAAAAGCCAAACAAGCAAAGCAGAAATACAGAGTTGGCCGATAGGGGGAGCCAGAGAGAGGCTTCGTCCCGGCTCTGGGTGCATGTGTGTGTGTATGTGTGTGTGTGTGGAGTTTTTTCTGTCCTCTGCCGGAGTTGCAGCCTCAGTACCAGCGAGGAGGAGCTCAGAGCTGAACACGGAGCTGCTTCATGGTGCTGCCCGTCGCCTTTCTCTTTACAAAGGACGCGAACGAAACCCGAACGGATATTTACCACGGATTCCGGAGGAGGTGGAGAAACAGCTCAGTAAAGTCCATCAATGTACCTCACCGTAGGCCGGGGCTCGCTTCTGCTACTCCTCCTGTCAGTCCTGCAGGTAAAGAACACAGAACCTCTTCTCCTTTCTTTTCCTCTCTTCTCTTCTTCTGTCCTCTCCTCTCTTTTCCTCTCCTCTCTTCTCCTCTCCTCCCTCTCTGCTCTAATGCTGTACTGCTGTAATGTGAGGGCTCGTTATGTTCTGAGTGGAACGCGTGTTCGGCTGTTTGGCTGTTCTGCCTTCAGAACCTGCGGAAAAGCGTGTCAGACTCGCTGCGTGGTTCCTCTTCAGCGGAACAGTTTCCCTCCCCGCGCCGAGGCCGGGTAACTTTGTGTCACCGTGCATTTCTGCCTCGTCTCAGCGGTTTTGTTTGTTGGGCTCATCATGTGGAGTTTACCAGCAAACTGGCTGTCGGGACTGAAGGTGCTGAAGGTGGTGTTCAGTGTAAAACAGCAGTGAGAGCTTCAGGACGCAGAGACACAGCAGCTGCTTTCCTCCAGTCCTCTGACTCAAACATGCCTCGTTTTCCAGGTTCTCGTATTTGAACTTAAGCTAGAACATCAGGGCTTTTCTAAATCTAGTTAATCTGGCAGTAGATTGTTTCATAAGCCCCCAAAGTTGTGACTTACTGTGTTCAAAAAATAGGTCAAGCAGAGATGTGTCCGTCTTAAGGGCAGGCTCTTCGGACGCTGGCTTTTACTTAAGAACGTTCTTAGCAATAAAGAAAAAAAAGGTTCTACGTAGTATCAAAGAAATGTTCTATGACTTCTAACATTAGTGGAGCACTTCTTGGCAGAATAATTATCAAAAAATGGTTCTGCATAGAACCAAACACAGGTCATATGACTTGTAACAGTAACAGAACCCTTCTTGCCGGAGAAACTGCAAGAAATGGTTCTGCATGGCACCAAAGAAAGGTTCTTTGACTTGTAACAGTAGCAGAAACCTTCTTGGCGGAATAATTATCAAAAACAGGGTTCTTCATAGTACCAAGGAAAAGTTCTATGACTTGTAACAGTAGAGGACAGTAAAGGAACCTTCTTGGCGAATAATTATAAAAAAAGGGTTCTACGTAGTACCAAAGAAAGGTTCTCTGGCTTGTAACAGTACCAGAACCCCTCTTGGCAGAATAATGATCAAAAAAGGGTTTTGCATAGTACCAGAGAAAGGTTCTGTGACTTGTAGAAGTAGCAGAACACTTCTGGGTGGAATAATTATAAATAGTCGTTCTATATAGTACCAAAGAAAGTTTCTATGATTTGTAGCAGTAGTGGAACCCTTCTTGGCAGAATAATTATAAAAATGGTTCTACATAGTATCAAGGAAAGGTTCTATGACTTGTAACTCTAGCGGAACCCTTCCTAGTGGAATAATTATCTTAGCAGAATAATTATAAAAATGGTTCTTCATAGTACCAAAGAGAAGTTCTGTAGCCTGTAACAGTAGCAGAACCCTGCTTGGTGGAATAATTATATGTGAAAAGGGTTCTACATAGTACTTAATAAAATTTCGGTGACAGTAGTGGAACCGCTCTTGACGGAATAATTATAATAAAAGGGTTCTACGTAGTACCAAAGAAAGTTTCTATGACGTCTAACAGTAGCAGAACCCTTCTTGGTGGAATAATGATATATAAAAAGGGTTCTGCATAGTACCAAAGAAAGGTTCTGTGAATTGTAACAGTAGCGGAACTATTCTTGGTAGAATAATTTTGAAAAAAAAAAGAACAGTTCTACATGGTACCAAAGAAACGTTCTGTGACTTGTAACAGTAGCAGAACCCCTCTTGGTGGAACCATTTTTAAAAGGTTTATCTAAAGAACATCAAGGAGAATTTGACCATGCAAACAACAAACAATGCTTGCTGTTCCCTTTTTTTAGGACGCAGATGAACTGAAACCCAGTTAATCAGTGAAAATGCTGGACGAAACGTCGTGTCCTGAGATTCTTTGTTGATTTATGCTTCTGTTGACCAACTGCTGAGCAAACAAATGAGTGTTTGCAGCACTTGATATGAAAACATATCTTGAGTTTTTGGTTCTAGACGTGTGACAAGTAAGTCATTTCACAAATGATTAGTGCTGACTGTTGTCTTCAGCACTACAAATGCCTTGTTCCTGCTTCTCTTCTCCGGTTGTGGTGGCTAAACAGCATGTCGAGCTAGTTTGGTCCTGTGTTTAGTGTATCCTGTGTAATGTGTGCTGTTAATTCAGCAATAACCAGCCATTGTTCTGGCTCCCCTCCGCTTTCATTGAAATTCCGCTGATTGAAAGAGGCAAGTGGCACGAATACCCATAATGCCGTCATGCTCTGGAACTCGCATTCTTTTGGAGGTCCGCACAAAAGAAATGGGATTAAGACCTTGTGGTGCTGGTGGGGGTGGATGCAGGGTGGTGGGGGTCATGTTTAGTAGGGGGTATTGGGGGGTCCGGGGTGGTGTTTGTGCAGTGTGATACACAGCCTGCCATTCAGGAGACTGGAATCACCGTCTGAAAGTTCTGAATCAGTTTACAGTGGTATAAAACCAGTTCAGTTGCAGGTCTGAGCAAAACTGTGTATCTCCATTTTTGCTGTTTTTCACTTTTTCCTCATGATTTGAAAAAATGCTGCTGTTTACACTGTGTCAACATTGCATGATGAATAATGGAAATCGCCCAAAATGACTATCATTTAACTTACAGCCTTAGCAAAAAGGGTTCTATATAGTACCAAACGGTTTCTTGGCTTGTTACAATAGTGGAATTTTTTTTTGGTGCTACATAGAACCCTTTTCAAAAAGATTCTATATATAACCATCTATAGCACATTCTCCATCAATCTGAAGAACCTGTCATGATGCAAAGAACCCTTTAAAAGGGTTCTTGGTTCAAGATAGAACCATTTTCTTTACTAAAGAACCCTTGAAGAACCCTCTTTTTTAAGAGTGTACATTATAAGTTAAGGATGTTTTTACCTTCTCGTGGACCATTTTGGAGATACATGGTTTGGTTCTGACTCTAATGATATAAAATGATGTTACTATGGTGCTTCTACTCTTGTTAACTTAATAGGTTTTTAAACTAATTTCTAGGACACTGTAAAAAAGGATGTAAATATTGAAATGTAGATCTGTATGTAGTGTCTGGAATGCAGAACAGAGCTATTTGTTCCTCAATCACTGAGAAAGCTGTACGGTTTTAATAAAAATGTCCTGTAATTGAAAAGAGGTGGACAATATGAAGATTGTTTATCATTACTGTGAGAAATTTTGTTATTGTGAAACAAACCCAATTTCAAAACCAGCTGAGACAGAAAAATGTAAATAAAAACAGATAATATTTTGCAAATCTCTGTTCAGCATATATTACATTGAAAACAGTACAAAGGCGAGCTATTTAATATTTCAACTGATTAATGTTATTGTTTTTTGGATATATATATAATTATCTGTCTAGAAAGAATGTGTGTGTACCCCTCTGCATTAGTGATGCCTTCACAGATGTGCATGTTACCCACTAACATAACCCCCCGTACCATGACAGATGCTGGCTTTTGAACTTTGCATCAGAAAACATCAGGATGGCCCATTTCTTCTTTGGTCTGGCGAATGCAACGACCATTATTTCCAAAAACAATTTCAAAGGCGGACACGTCAGACCACAGCACGTTTCCACTGTGCATTAGTCTGTCTCAGATGAGCCTTAGCCCAGAGAAGTCGGCGGCTCTGTGGTTGTGTCTGTATATCGTCGCTGTCCAGGAAAAAACAAGTGTCTCTAAAATAGTAACTTCACAGGAGAAGAATAAAACACTCTTACCTTTCAGTGTAAGTTAATGTAAAGAGGTTTTATTCCAAGTGATTTTGGAGCATTTCTGTTTGTCCAATCATCAGAAAATTTCCGCACACCATAAAGGACGGCTGGTGTGTTATGATGTAGAAAAATAAAAACTGACAAAAATGGAGATACATGGTTGTTTTGGACAGCGACAATATATGGCTTCCACTTTGCATCTTAATTTGGATTTGTAAATGAAGCAACAACTGACAGGGGTTTTCCAAAGTGTTCCTGAGCCAGTGTGGTTATGTTCATTACAGGAGCATGTCGGTTTTTTAAGCAGTGCCGCATGAGAGATCAAGGGTCATTCAAAAACGTTTTTTCGGCTTTGCCCTTTACGCACATTTCTCCAAATTCTTCAAGAATGTTATGGACTGTAGATGGTGAAATCCCTAATACAATCGTGTGTTGTTGTCAAACTGTTGAAATATTTCATGAATGCTCCTTTTACCTCCAATCGTGACAACATCACCTGCTACCTATGTACCTGTTTACTTGGGCAAAGTTCCAAAAACAGGTGTTTTGATCATTCCACAAACTTCCCAGTCTTACTTTGCCCCTGTGCCAACTTTTTTGGAATGTGTTGCAGGCATCACATTTGGAAATAGTATACATTTACAAAAGTTGATGAGGTAAAATATTAGATATATCATTGTTGTGCTGTTTTCAATTAAATACCTGTAATATACAGTTTGCAAACCTTTGTTTTTATTTGCATTCTACCTGCTGCCCCAACTTCTTTTGGAATTGGGCTTTGGTCGTAATATGCCTTTCTAAGAATATTGTGCATATCATACTTAAAGAACACGGACTGACTTTATAATTAGTCCTGTATATTTGTATTTAGTGCATTACAGTATATGAAAAGTTAAATACAAATCACTTTTAAAGGCACTTTTTAAACGTGGCACTGCTAGTGCATTGTGTGTATGTGTCAAAATATTAAATTGCAAAAAATGCCTGTAAGTATGGCTGATATATTTTTTCTGTATCATCCACTCCTAGTGATACATATCATGTTATATTTTGCCATGTCACTCATCCCTAGTACAACATCACAGGCTCACTCTGACTTATTAGAACCATTTTCCTGATGTTGTGAATGTTTCAGGACCCTGTCCTTCTTTTTTTTTTGCATTTCTGACCACCGTCCCCAGGCCGGTCAGAAGGAGCTGTTTATCTGAAGCGATCTGAGCTGCCGATCGATTACTGGCCTTTGCACAAGCTCACCCTCAGTAAAAAACAAACGGCTCCTGTTCTGGCCTTCCTGCCATGCTTCCCAGCAGAACACTTAACCTCGCCGGCCTCATTACCCTAATTGCACTCGCTGTCCCGCTATAAAACAGGTGCTGCCTTTGTGCGTGCGTGGGTGTGCGGGTGCGTGTGGGGTGAAGGTCTAAGGATTGGGGAATGTTAATTGTGGACTGATGAGTCACTCTGTGTGTTTTCTGCAGACTGGCACACACGGCAGAGGCCCCCCGCTGTGCATGCCGGGTTTTGCTGAAGATGTGTACGATGCTTCACTGCCTGAAAAACTGCTGGAGGGACAGCCGCTGCTCACCGGTAAAGAAACTCGCATTTACCTCGTCTGTGTGTGGGTGTGGATGTATGTTGGGGCTCCACTGATATATTGATTGGCTGATATCATGATCTCACGGACGATATTGGCAAAATTTCAAGCCAATAAAGCAGAGATAAGTAGTGACTCATCTTGTAAGAAACTTCTGACATGAAGAAAACCAGTTTCTTGCTCACAGTCCAGTCTTTATAAAGACTTCCGTAGAGACAGTCACTTTCAGCTCATTTCTATGACAGTAATACAGGCTGAACTGGTAAATCTGAACATAAAAAGATTCATCCTATGGCATCACTTAACCCTTTTAAAGCCAACACAGTGGCTATTTCTGCTGTTAGTCAGCTCTTCCTCATTATTAATTATGTTGATCCTTAATGTGTCGTTGCCTTTATTTGATAATAATGTGCCAAATCCAAAATTTCATAATTTGCATTTAGTTTGTCTCACAAACTACCATTCAGTACAAGCAAAGACATGAATATGAATATGTCACATAGTGCTTAATGATTTGAAATGCGCTCTGAATGAGCTCACACAGCCACTCAGAAAAAAATCACAGCACATCCAACTATAAACGATAATAAAGGCAGCCTCTTGCATCTTTTATACAGTGAAAGAAAACATGGTAGCAGACAAAAAGCTCTGATTCTACATACTCCTCTGTATTTACCATGCTCAATGTGGGTGTGCATGCACAGTAAGACCTCTGGCTGTGGGTTTAAATGATTTGAGGCCCCATTGGGTTAACCCCTTACATGGCCAGGGCCCACCAGCAGGCCCAACGTTATATTACACACTTCTATAACCTAAGAATAGCTCAGTTAGTTTGTACTGAAGTCCCTGTAGATACTCAATAATAAGCCTTAGTAAGTAATACTCTTGGGATTTTAAGGGGTCATTCTAGAACATAATGTTATGACCCTCGTCATCTCTAAAATGTCTTGGGATTTTTGTTTATGTCATTCCATTTATACTTTTGGAAGGACACTCTTATCCAGAGTGACTTGCAGTTTAATCAGAGGTAGATGAATGCAGCATTAGGAGTCTTGCCCAATATAGATGAGCACAAGTATAACATGGTGTAGTCATCTAGACAAAGAATTGAACCCTAGTCTGCCACTTTGTTTTCCACTATGCTATACCCCCCACAATGAGTGAGAAGACCCTCTCTGATACATTGTTTTATTGGGAAATACGTCACTATGGAAGAAAAACACGTTATAATTTCCAGTTCAAGTTGACTTTAACTAAAACTGTTGGAGGCTGTTACATGTTTGACCATATAAACATGCATCGGCCATTATTTTCCAAATTTTTAAGCCTTTTAAAGTCAGTATCAGTATCAGTTACAACTGTTTCCTATCAGTTGAGCCCTGGTATGTATGTGCTATCCTGCTGTTGGTAATGTACCGAGCAAGAAAGAAGGAAGCTATCAAATGTTCTTTGTGCATGTGGACATGTGTGCTGGTTGTTTGTAAGGTGCTGTGGTCTGGCAGGAGAACAGTTTGTGTGTGCGTGTGTGTGTGAATGAGTGAGTGAGTGAGTGAGTGTATGTATCTCCAAGCTCCATGTGTGTGGCTCTGCGCTATGGTGGGTGAAAACAAGCTTCAGACATATTTAAACAATTAGCCGCGCTGTTATGTGGGCTTAAAAGCTATGTTGTTTGGTTTGTATGCCAATAAACGTCCAAATCTGCAGGGCCTTAGCTCTGCTTCTAATCATGGACTCGCACAAAGAGTTTTTTGAAGAGCTTTTGCTGAATTTCCACTTTCTTAAATTTGCTGCCAGAAAGAAAAACAATGGAAAAAGAGGGCAGAGTAGTCGAGTTTGTTGTTCTGAATAAATCAGTCCATTTTAATTGTTAGCAGTTAGAGGAAGAATCTCGTTTCTCACCTTCATATGAAAATGGCTCGGTTTGTTAAGACTAAGTATGGTACCTTTTTATACGTGCAGAATAGCTGAGTACGGTAGAACAGTGTGGGGAAACAATACTGGAGGCCAGAGGGCTTGTTTTCGGTCCTGGAGAAGTGTCTTTAAAGTCCAGGAATGATGCACCTTTACATTTGCCGTAATTGTTTTGCTACTTGTTGACATCAAAGCAGATAAAAGGAGATGTGGCCCGATCACAAGTACCTGGCAAAGTGGGCAGGTAGAAGAGCGGTCGTCCTTTTTCCTTTGCTGTTGAATAGCATCCCCTTCAGAAGACAGCACAGAATGACTGTGTGTGCTTTGTGTGATCCCTGGGTTTGTGTCCAACGCCTCCACATAGCCTGTCTTCCTGACCCGAGAGAAAAAGCCTGTCACTTCGAAAATGCTTCTTGGTGCTTTATGAGTACAAGTAAGAAATTTACCACCAGTCGTTCAGAGCCTTGCTCACTCTGTTTGTAATGCATACAGAGCTGTGTACTGAGAATAGAGTGGGATTTCACTCATTTAAGATCTGTTTGGGTTGTTTTTAGTGGGTAGGGTTACAACTAATGATTGCGATGTTGGTTTAATCTACTGTATTTGATTAATCCACTAATCAAACCATTATGCCTTCTGCAGCTCCCTCTCATTTGGCCACAGTCACGGCACCGCTGTCATTAAAAGTTCCATCTGTGCAACAAGAAGTTCTTCTTTTTTTATAGTGATGCAGAACAAAAGAAGCCATACCGCCCCCAGCACTTCCTGTAGTGTATTGCAGTCTGTCAGAATGACCACATATATAATAGGGTTGTAATGATTCACAAAATTCATTATTTGATTCGATACAATACGGTGGTCTTTCAATTCGATACATTTTTTGCTATGGCAAAAGTTGGGAGTGCCTGAAATTCTGCCATGTGTTAGTATGTTAGTGTTTACATTAGAGATGTGCATTCCGACTAATTTTGATATTGGAGTGTCCTTAAGATTTCATGAGACATGAGCTGATGAACTTGTCGTTCTACATGAGGTCTTTTCTCCTCAGTGGACAAGGTGCCAACATGTTAGTTTGTCAGAGAAATATGATAAATATGAACATATTTTCATTGTGTAAGGACCTAGCTAACATTAGCTAGAGTTGTCAGCCCAGTTAGTGATACGATCATGTAGGGGTGGACGATATGGAGAAAATACAATATCACGATACTTGATAACCGCTACAAGTCACAATGTTTTGGGTCTTCGATAAGTGGAACAGATACGTTTGAAGTTAGAACAGAGGGTTAGGGTTAGGTTTTGGGTTGAGGTTGCATATTAACAATACGTCTACTTAATGTAAGTAATGTATCAACAGAACATCTACAAGATATTTACTTCAGTGTATTCAGATGCTTCACTACTGCTGCTTCACTGATATGTTGTTGATAGTTACTGATAATCTGTTAAGCATTTATTAATCATCTATAAAGTACCACTCAAAGTGTTACCTGATTTTTTTATTCAACATTTCACACTGTGCTCTAAATCATAATGAACAGAACGGATTATGCTGTCTTTGTACTGACAAATGCATTTGTTCAGTGTTCTTCATGTGCTGGTGAGATCCACGATATGCTCAGAAATGCAAATTGTGACATCATTTATCACAATTATGTTAACATATCATCATATTGCCCACCGCTACAGTCATGCTTTCTTTGCCATCCCTAACAACGCGTCCTTGTCAACGTGCTCACATTCAGGCACTCATATTTTGGAGCAGCATAATGAAACATATTTACTTGCAAATATGAGAAAAAATATCACACTTTTCTTTATTGTCAGCCTGTATATTTTTCCCATCTTCCTGTGATGAAACATAATGAGTAACCAAATAATTTTTTCGTTGTTTCAGTTTCAGTTTATTAGAGCATTCACCATTTTAAAAGCATAATATTTTATAATATTGTGCCACAAACTAATATGTTGGCTTCAAGCTAATAAGCTCATAGTAATAATATATAATATAATTAATAAGCTTCTCCTCCCTGCTCTTGATTCTGAGGAAAAAATGAAAGTGATATTTTCAGAGGAGGGATGGTGTGCCTTCGTTGTTGGCTTGCTTGTTTCGTTTTCATTCATTATGCAATATAATCAGTATTAAACTGAGGACTGTATTTGCTCCAGTCTGCTGGATGTGTTGTTCAAGACCTGTACATATTGAATCATACAATACAATAATTGTGTTGTTATACTCCTAACATATAAATAAAAGTCTTCAATAATGCAATATGATGATTGTATTATAAGTAATCAATGCTGAGATGCAGCATCTTTTTTCCATGACTGTCATGGTCATGTTATTGAGAGGGAAGTCTAATGCAAATCTCAACAGACACTATGTTCTGTGGGCTGTTTCAGCTGTGAATGTTTTTGCTCTTGCTTCTTTGTTGCTCGAGCCCAAATGGTCAGTGAACGGCCCTCATTTTAAGTTACAGTTGCAGGCGACAGAGCACTTCCTGACAGTAGTAAATGAAGATGTGAATGAAGCACGTACGCAGCTGCTGCCTAAATGGTTTTGTGGGTCAACCGGTGCGCTGCGACCAAATGCCACCTCTGAGAACCCTCACCGTGGTGCGAGCTCCTTCCTCAGCCCTGCTGTTGATTAGCGTCCACTTCCAAATAAAGCTGCACCTCGCAGAGAAGCGAGGAACCTGCAGGTCAGAGAAAGCCTTAAGAAGATGCTGTGGGATTTCACACGTTCGGCACAGAAGTCACAGCTAGTGGAGAGTGTGAGGTAGTCATGGGGAGAGTGACACCGGGGGGATGGGTGGGTAGAGAGAGAGGGGGGGGAGGAGAATGACGTAGGTCAGAGGTCTCCGTTTGCTTTCTCTGCCCTTTCAACCCACACCACTCCCCCTCTATTCGATCTCTTCCAGTGTAGGCACTTTGCCTTCGCCTTTGTCGGAGGATCAGCCAGGAACCAGGGCTCGAGGCTGCTGATAGTCAATGTCCTCTTTTATTGCTCACCCTCCCAGCCCATTATTTACCAGATTTCCTGTAAGAGGGCTGGTCGAGGATCAGTTTCTGTCTTTTGTAG